GGAGGAGGAGGAGGAGGAGGAGGAGGAGGAGGAGGAGGAGGAGGAGGAGGAGGAGGAGGAGGAGGAGGAGAGGGAGGAGGAGGAGAAGGAGCAGGAGGAGGCGGAGGAGGAGGAGGAGAGCCAGGAGGAAGGGCGGAGTACGAAAACGGGGTGGACAAGGGGACGACAACGAGGACGACGGGGAGGAGGAGGAGGAGGAGAGGAGGAGGAGGAGGAATAAGAGGCGGAGGGCGACGACAACAACGACGAAAACGAGCTCAAAGCGGAGGAGGATGGCGAGGGAGAGGGAGAGGTGGACAAAGGAGGAGGAGAACGAGGAGCAGGAGGAGGAGAAGGAGAAGGAGGAGGAGGAGGATGAGGAGGATGGAGGAGGATGAGGAGGAGGAGGAGGAGGAGAACGAGGAGGGGAGAGAAAGAGAAGCAAGAAACAAGGGGAGGACGACGACAGGCAGTTGTCGGAAAGCGAAGGGCGTCGACCAAAGGGAAGATCAAGGATCACTCGCGGGAAGCCCAGCGATATTGGCACGCCCCGCGGTACTGCGAGGTGTCTTCTCGCCACAGGCATCCTGCGTTTTGCGGTTCCTCTATCACGGATGGCATGGCGGCCCCAATCCCGAACTGTGCGGGGTCCCCGATTGGACAAGCAAACCATGGCCTTCCAGGGGTGTGTGCATATATATATATATATATATGTACATTTTCAAAGTATATTTTCTTTGTGAGCGGGTGGCTTTCTGTTGCAAGGGAACTCGAACGCTCGGGGCGAGAAATTGCCTGCGACTCTTCACTTATGGAGCTGAAAGGCGCAACCAACATGTTCCGAGGCCGAGGCTGCTGCATCCCACACGCAGAGCCTGCGCCGAATCGCAGCCACTGCGTATCCCGCCACCGATTGACTTGCTATAGGAAAGGAGACTATGCACAAACACACACACACACGCACCGATTCTGGCCAGGCCCACCTTGAGCCCAGGATCGGTGCATACCCCCTCCTGCCTTGGCCAGGAGGGCACGTGCACCGATCCTGGGCTCACGATGGGAATGGCCAAGATCGGTGCATGTGCATAGTTCTCTTCGCCCGATTTGCTGAGGAGGAGCACCGGCAAGGTCAGCCCAGCATGCCCTTCTCACGAGCTCCAGGCCAAGCAGCGTGGCGCGCAAACACCTCGCAGTGTGCCTAATGTGATCGGGACGGGAAACAGGATGAGGCAGAGGCAAAGGAGGAGGCTCTCCTCCTCCTCATCCTCTTCTAGATATCCTTTTTCCCAAACTGATGCTGGTTTCCTGGCGACGCATTTCAACCCTCCCGCGGGCGCAATTGCAACCGCAGCCACAACTGCAACCAAACGGCACATCTCAACCTTCCCGCGGGCGCAACCGCAAACGAAACCAAACGACACATTTTAAACCGCCCGCGGACGCAACCGCAACCGCAACTGCTACCAAACGACACGTTTCAACCCGCCCGCGGGCGCAACCGCACTCGCAACCGCAACCAAGCAACACATTTCAACCTGCCCAAAGGCGCAACCGCAACCGCAACCCAACGAAACATTTCAACCCACCCGCGGGCGCAACCGCAACCGCAACCGCAACCAAACGATTTATTTCAACCCGCCCGCGGGCGCAATCGCAACCGCAACCGCAACCAAGCGACACATGTCAACCCTCCCGCGGGCGCAACAGTTACCAAACGACGCGTTTCAAACCGCCCGCGCAAGCAGGCGACATATTCTAACCCGCCCACAGGCGCAACCGGAACTATAAACTGGCGACACATTTCAACGGACACCAATGGCCACTCCAGCGAAAGGCCACTCTTACGTCCAATCAATCTAAGGGCGTCCGATCTGGCGCTCCTCTTCGCCCCCCGGTCGGCTACTCCACATGTCCACTTCATGTATCCGTCGCGCGGGTGTTCGTACGACATCTCCTGCGGCTTCTGACACATACCGAATGCATCGCAGCAGTGGTCGAAGAAGAACTGGAGCCATCTGAGTGCTCAGCGGCACCCGTTGGCCAAATGACAAGACCCGTTGTATATGACAAATCACGGATCTGGTGCCCCGAAATGCACACATCATGTGCACCGTAGCGCCTGCTGCAGAAATCGAATGCAAAGCGCGCGTGCGAAACATGTTCACGCAACGGGCAGCTCCCTGGCAGCTGTGCTTATGGATTGCTTCGCCGATCGTCGCGGGCCCTCGGTCCCAGATCCTGGCTGCGCTGGGCGGCTACTTCTGGCTGGCCAGGGCCCCCCCCCCCTCCAGCTCTTCTTGCGCGACTGGTAAAACCAGCTCGACTAAGCACCAGCCCAGATCTAGACACCCCACCCTCCACCACCCGTCGGCCAAGTGTCGAAACCAAGAATAAAAATCCATCCTGCATGCGCCAGGACATACCTAGAACGGAGCAGCAACTGTTAGGTTCAAGTGCGCACTGCTCGCACCTGCATGAGAGACTTGAGGGGGGGGGGTCTTGGGAGCCTCTGCGGATTCCCCCCGAGGAAATCTCGGTGCGATCTCGTGGCGCTCACCTCATCGAGAAGTGAAGCTCCGAGCACTGCACAAATGCCTTCGGGATCCCGCGGAAAGAAACGTGAAACTGCTGTGCGCCAGGACGAAAAACCGGTCCCGGGGAGAAAACTTGGGACTTCGGGGAACCACGTGCGGAACAAAAACAGGACATCACATGTCTGGTCTCCCACCACCCCTAGAACCCCTGATCGCTGCAAGCTGCTCAACTAGGTGCACACTGTCGTGCCTCATGCGTTCGCGACCGTGCTGGACAAAACTGCAGCATCAATGTGCATCGGTGCGTGTCCCGCGCCGAGCGCAACTCGCAACACAAAGCATGTCTGGCAGACGACCATGCACACGTCGAGTGCCAAAGCACTTGCCTGACAAGCAAACTTAAGAAGAGCTGAGTGCAACCCACGATCGGACTTCGACCCGTCCATGCATGCATGCTTGCAGTAAGTGCGCCGCATCGCGACATGTCCGACAATACATTTTTCAGATGAACCGTCTTTGCGGACCGCGAACGTCTTTTGTCATTTCCCGGGTAACGGCCGCTACGGGGGGGGGGGAGGGCGGGAGGGTAACAATAACGGCGGCCGCGGCGTGCGCCCGCCAGGGTGCGTCCGCGCCACTGGCGCATCAATCGCTTGTGTACGCGACAATGCCCAGTGCGAGCGTGAAGCAAAACGCCACCTGTATACACATCACAGTGCCTCCGTACACCACGACAGCCGCGTGCACTGCAACACCATGTCGCCCATGCACACCGCAGTGCCTGTGTCTACTGCACCAACCTTTGTTCATAATAATAAGATCCTGCTGACAACCGTTGTTTATATCAGGACTATGGAAATGAAGCCCCATGAAAATACATCGCCTGTGGATTCCACAGGACCCTATCGACTTCAATAAGATTTGAAACAGGAAGCGTTATGAAAAGCGGACTCCAGTTTCAGGATTGCACAGACAACCGATTGTTTGATGCATGGATCCTTTTGGAAATTGGGGCGCCATTGGATTCCACAACAAATAAACATTGAATATACACCTTTCGAACAACAAACAATATGGAACATGGAGCGCCTGAGGATTTACACGCGTGCGCTACAACGCCCGCGTACACAACAACGCCTGCGTACACCACAACAGCCGCGTGCAGCACAGCGTCGGCGTACACCACAGTGCCTGCGTGCACCACAGCGCTTGCGTACACCACAGCGCTCGTGTAAACCGCAGCACCCGTCTGCCACGCATCGTCGGTGTTCACCGCGCTGCCTGCGTGAACCACAGTGCCCACGCACACCATAGCGCCCGCGGGAGAAGGCGCGGGGCTGCCCAGTCTTTTTTTTTCCATGGCGCTGGGTCCACAATCGATACGTTCAGTATGGACGGGTAGTAAGGACGCAAGACCTTTGGAAGCCGAAGTTGGGATTCGTTTGCAAAAGCTGGCCACTGAAAGCGGCAAAGGACAGGCCGCAGAGGCAAGGACACAAGGGTACCCTGGAGAAAGCGCGCGTCCTCATCAGGCTTGTTGAACGCATCGCACTGCAACCGAACACCAGCCAGAAAGAAGAGAGATAGCCACCGCATTTTGCACTTGCGGAAGAGTGGCCGAACCAGCCTGCGGTAGCTGAGCCATCGCCAGCTGCATTGGACGACGACGAGGGCAAGACGATGACGACGACGACGACAACGACGACGACGACGGACGATGGACGACGGACGACGACGACGACGACGACGACGACGACGACGACGACGACGACGACGACGACGGACGACGGACGACGGACGACGGACGACGGACGACGGACGACGACGACGACGACGACGACGACGACGACGAAACGACGGCGACGACGACGACGACGACGGACGACAACGACGACGGACGACGACGACGACGACGACGACGACGACGACGACGACGACGACGACGACGACGACGACGACGACGACGACTGCGAGCGCCACACCACGTTTGTGAGCACCAATGCGTGCCGTCCAAACCACGCCATGCTCACAACACCACATCTGCGGGGTGTCCGCTGCCGGCGTGTAGGGGGGGGCCAGGCCCCCCCTCACGGCTCGATCGTTAGCGTTACTGGGAGGGGGGGGGTCTGGCCCAGGCAACGAGCGCTACGCCGGAGAGGAACAACAAAAAAAAAAACGCTCCCACTGGAAACCGTGCGTCTCGGCGCGCCAACTTCGGATCTGGAGCGGGGGAACGAGGCGAGGCGAAGCGAACGCCGGAATGACGTGCGCTCCTCCGCTTGAGCCCGCCCGTGCCCATCAGGGCATGGCGGCGTCGGTTGCCATTTGCTGGCGCCCGTGGTCGTCGTTTGGGGGCGCTGGACCTGAAGCGGGATGAGGAGGGCGAAGAGGTCCAGGAGGAGGCGTAGCGCACTGGGCTCAGGTAGCGAGTCTTGGGGCGGGCTGGAATGTTTCGCCCTGCCGACCTCACGTGGACCCTCTCTGTCATCAGGAGGAATCAATTCGGCAATATTTTTTGAAGTATGCCCCAAGCTCTTCAAGCTGCACTGCCTGCGCACGCAAAAGGTGCAATATCTGAATCGTCTCAGTGGGAGCGGACTGGAGCGCCAAATAAGATAATGAATCGATGAACTCCTGCGGGTCGATGGTGCCCGATTTGTCGACATCGATCCACTCGAACAACTCTGTGAGTTGACCTGATTCGAAGATGGCTTTGAGCTCGGGCGGCATCTTACCGAACTTATGAAGACGCATCGCTTCGACGATGCGCTCCATCCCGATCTGGAACTCATTCACATCCACTACTCCGTCCATGGAAGCGTCAAGTTCACAAAATATGTCTGATATGAAGGGCTTCATCGCTTGCACTTGTCGCCGAACAAGTTGCGTGCGCATCTCTCGGTCTTGGCGGCTTTGCGTGATGGCGTGATCTACGATGATCCGCCACCGTGCTTTCGGCACCCTGGGGCATGATGGCTGTCTCATCGGGTTTCTGTAGCTTTCCAGGGCCTACCACCCTTCTCGCGCGACCGACCAGCCTCCCCAAGTCGCCCCCTGCTTTGCTTCCCCGCGCTCTTTTCGGCCTCCCAGCGGCTTCAAGAAGGTCCAACATCGCTCCAGCACGGCTGCACATAATACCACCATAAGAGCCGAAGACTGCCCACCGACGCCCCGCAAGCTCCAGGAGGGGCCAAACACAATGAAGCACATGGGGGCACCACATGTGCTGCTTCCGAGGCTTTTCAACCTCAAGCCGCCTCGGGGAAGCTGCCGAGAGCCCGAGCGCCCCCCAGGATGGCTCCCAGAATACCCCCCAGACCTGCCTTAGAACCCCCCCAAGACGGCCCAAGAGGGCTCCAAGACGGCCCACCCGCCGAAACGCTCCCAAGAGGCTCCAACCTCACATCGTCGCGAGAGCTCTGCGGAGCAGCCGCGCCCAAGATGGTCCCGAAACACCCCCGGCGGGCCCTCCACGGGCCTCCAGCGGCCCCCCAGGAGCGCCCCCCAAGAGGCCCGCAAGAAGCCCCGCAGAAGCACCTGGTGTAGTTTCTAGAGGGAGGAGGGCGGAAGAGGAGTGAGAGGAGGAGGAAAAGGAGGATGAGGAGGAGGAGGAGGTGCAGGAGGAGGAGGAGGAGGAGAGGGAGAAACAGGAGGAGAAGGAGGAGGAGGAGGAGCATGAGGAGGAGGAGGAGGAGGAGGAGGAGGAGGTGGAGGAGGAGGAGGTGGAGGAGGAGGAGGGGGAGGAGGAGGAGGAGGAGGAGGAGGGGGAGGAGCATCGGGAAGCGGAAGCTCATGAGTGATGACGAGAGGGGATGGCGAGGCTGCGGATGGGGAGGCGGCGTGCAGGTCGCGCGTCCGCGCGGGCATGGCACGGGGCAGGGGCGGGCCGGGGGCTCCGTCTCTTTGCAGCTGCGCCGCTTGGCCAACTTCAAGCCGGCCTGTCCCTGTACAGTCGGGGCGTTGGCCTAAGGAACCCTACATTAGGGGAAAAAAACAGACCTACCTCGCTTTTGACCACCCTCGCTTCCAAGAGATACCAAACGATGCCAAATTGCAGCCTGTACTGGTCAGGCCGATTGACGAGGAGGCGCGTGGTATGGCTTGGTTTTGCCTGGAAGCGAAAGCGGGGTAGGTAATTCACGCTCTGATAAATAAGGAACGAGGCCCCTTTCTCCCATAAGTTGAACTTCGATTTCCCATGGGAAACCTCAGGAGAACCGAAGGCACACTGCAGAATAAGCAAGGAACACCGAGCCCCTCTCCAACGAAAAGGATTCCTTCTTCAGGGCCCCGACTGTACTGGGGGATTTTGGGCAGAAAATGAAGACACCCAAAACGATTCAAGCATACCAAGGCGAGGCTCAAAAAGGGCCCCCCAGGCGATGTTTTGTTACTTTTGAATGTTCCTCCCGTAGAGGGACAGGCCCGACTTCAGGCCAGCACGACGACGGCGTCTGCCGCAGGCGGCCGTATAGCAGTTACCAGGTTCATTAACACGACTCCCAAGACGAGCCACACGGCCATGAAGTACCACACCAGATACCACGCCCTGTTAACTATGGGCCAATACACGTCCAAGATGCCGTCGCCAGTCGCAAACTGGATCAACGTCAGCATGGCGACGCGCAGGGACGAGAAATGCAGCTGTAGCACCTCGAAGGTATCTGGGTCACCCTGCAGACTCGCGTCGTGGTTGAGCAGCTCCATGCCGAAGCAAGCGAATACATAGATGGTCATCACTATCATGAGGCAGGCCGCCATGACCGTGCGGAGGGAACTCATCAGCCCCCTCGCGAGCTTCCACATCTCCTCGCAGCTCCGGAACAGGCGCAGGAACCGCACCAGGCGGAAGAGGCGGAGGGCCCGCACAAGCGTCGCCTGGGAGACGGCGGCCAGCCATGACTCGGTGTCGCCGTTGGGCACGGCCGCGGTGATGAAGGGGCCGGCAGTGAGAGATACCGCACTGATACAGACCAAGAACGTATCGAAACGGACCGAATTCCTCCTGAAGATGGAGCGGCCGTGCATCGCGTAACGGACGGCAATTTCCCCCACGAAGATTGCACAAAAGACGTACTCCATCTTGCTCGAGACGTTTCCGCACTCGTCAGCCCCCTGTGCTTCACACTCGATCTGCAGCCCAACATTGACTGCACTTGCCAAAATGATTGCACTCATGGCCACACTAAACGAGGAGCTGTGCGAGGCTTCCACTCTCTGAACAAAGCGGCGCCATCGTGTTCCTCTGGACTCGTCATCGCAGGAGGCGCTCGCGCGTCCCAGCATGATTTTCAGCCGCTTGGCTGGCGTCATCACTCGGCCGATGCGCCGCTCAGAGGTCTGGTCATGCGACACCAGGCCGGCGATCGACGAGAAGTCGTGCGAGGACAGCTTCGGCGCTGCCTTGGAGGTTCCAGCTTCGAGTTTCGAGGCTCGAGGTTCCAGGTTCAAGGTTCGAACTGAGACGATCTAGCTTTCCGGACGCCGTTGCCCTCTCCTCTGCCCCGGCAGACCGCCGGCGGAAACTCTACAGAGGTCTCCGGAGCGGGGGACACAGAAAAAGGCGGGGCAGGTCCAGGCGGGACTAGAGGAGAATCGCTCTGGACGGCCCCTGTCGGGCGTTCGCTTAACAGGGGGGGGGGGGGGGCAACGAGGGGCGAGACGCCAGCGTCTTCTGGGCCCTCGGTGGCAGTTCAGGGGCCGGGCAGTGGCCCTCCAGGGCCACCTCCTTGCAGATCTCGATTGCCCCCCCCCAAACTTCCCCCCGCCTACCCCCACCCGCGCTGCCGAGCCGAGCGCCTACGCCTGCAAGGGAGACAAAGCAAAAAGCCTGGACGGGGAAATACCAGCCTCAGACTGAGGGCAACGGAATTTACGCATACACATATATATACATATATATATATACACATATATATATATATATATATGTATACAAATATATACATACCAAAACCGCCCCGTACCGTCGCCCTCGGACGTCCGTTTTCCGTGCATGCTTCGGCTTCGTGCGTGTTTTTTTTTGTGGTGCTCGATGAGCCAGGGTGCTCTTCGATGGCCCTCGCCGAGAAACATGTCTTCCTTTCACGAGCAATCACGGGCGACCCGCGCAGTCGCACGCGCCCCGAGGTGGCGCCCGACTCAGTAGGGCACCCTGGGGAGCTGCGCAACACGCCGCGCCGCCCGTGCGATGCCAAGGCCCCTGGACTGGCCCATCCTTGGCTCGGGATCGGTGCGTGGGCCATCCTCGCGAGGCCACGAGAGCGCGTGCCCCAGAGGGGTGCCGCCAGGGCGGTTGGCCCAGGGGCCGCGTCTCTCTGCGGAGCTTCGTGGCCTCCGCGACGCAGCAGGCGCAGCATTCGGCCGCCCCCGAGGGGGAGCCGCCAAGGGGGGGGGGAGGGTACCGAACGGGCCGTTCGCGCTCAGGCCTGTAGGGATGTCTCGAAGGAGGCGCTCGTTTGGTCCGGCGGGCGGGTCTCTTGGCAGAGCTTCGTGGTCGGCGCGGCACAGCACGCACAGCACTCGGCCTCCCCAAGGAGTAGCCGCCAGTGGGGGCATCTCGCGGGGCCGTTCGCGATTAGATTGTTATTTTTTTTCTCGACCGAGGCGCTCGTCTGGCCCAATGGGCGAGTTTCTTTTCAGAGCCTCCTGGCCACCACGACAAAGTTCGTAGAACGTTGGCACAGCGCCCGGCCACCACAGGGAGAAGCCGCTGAGGGGCAGGACATATCCCCGTCCGCGCCCTGTGGGAATGTCTCAAGCGGTTCGCTCGTTTGGTGGTCCCGACCCGTCTCTTTTGAGAGTCTCGTGTTATGTCGTCCCCCTCGTACGTACGGACCGCATCCCCCCAAAAAATTCGAGCACCCAGGAAAAAAGATCGAATCGGTGTCCAACGGGTATCGCCTCCCAAGGTCCGACACGTGAATCGCGTGAAAACCCTCCCGACTCGGTACGTTCTTGGTGCTCGACATTCTCTCTGGTGGTCAAGGCTAAAGTACTTTTGGAACATCATAAGGGGCCTCGTGATTGTGTGTCTCGCAGTTCCAGTGCATGTCTCTATGTTTACAGGAGGCCATGGCCTCACCCACCTGGTCTGAGCAGGCCCGGACAGCTGTCCGATGTGGTGGTTCGTTCGTTCAAAGGGGCCTCGTGAACGGCCTCGATGTAGCACAAGCGAAACTTGCAGGCACCCCAAAGAGAGGAGCCGCCAGGGGGTGCCGCACTTGCCTCCTCCTCCTCCTCCTCCTCCTCCTCCCCCTCCTCCTCCTCCTCCTCCTCCTCCTCCTCCTCCCCCTCCTCCTCCTCCTCCTCCTCCTCCTCCTCTTCTTCTTCCTCCTCCTCCTCTTGGTTGTGGTACCCCCGACTCCTCTCCGTTCAGGGCCCCATAATCACCGCGATTGGTGAGCAGAGCATCGGGGCCTATCCCAGTGGGGAGCTCGTGAGACGCCTCGGGCGAAGTGCTGGCTCGGGCATCCCCAGGACTTCTATCGCTCCAGAGCCCCCAAATCGATGACGCCCCGACGCAACAGGAACATCATTGGGGCACACCAAAAGGGGGAACCGCCACGGAGCGCTGTCGCCACAGGCAGAGAGTCTCTCACTCAGGCACTCACAGGCTGGAGGTGCCAGGAAATCGGAGGGGATCTCCGCGTCGAGCACAATGTTGTTCTGTGTTGGAGCCAGGTGCCCTCTCAGAGCAGCTCTCCCTGAAGGGCAGGTGGGGGCCTCCCGAGGAGCCACGGGGGCCTTCCCAGACGGCAGAAGAGGCCTTCCCAGAGGCGGCCTGGGAACTCCCGAGAGAGGAGGAGGAGGAGGAGGAGGAGGAGGAGGAGGAGGAGGAGGAGGAGGAGGAGGAGGAGAAGGAGGAGGAGAACGAGGAGGAGGAGGAGGAGGAGGAGGAGGAGGAGGAGGAGGAGGAGGAGGAGGAAGGGGAGGAGGAGGAGGAGGAAAGGGAGGAGGAGGAGGAGGAGCAGGAGGAGGATCAGGAGGAGGAGGAGGAGGAACCTGTTCATAAGAAGGCCCCCCCTTGCTTCACTCACCCGGCATCCGGCGCAGCGAAAAACTTGACCACCGTGGGACATCACGAAGCGGAGGCCCGGCCCCCCCACCTGCAGCGACACCGTCGGCTACATGCAGGAGCGACCCTTGGCAAGAGTCACCTCTGGTGCGCGGCTTCAGGTGGGCGCGGGGGGGACCAGACCCAAACGCACACGCCGCTGCTTAGAGGGCAGAAGATCCACCCCCCATACGAATCGCCCCGACAAGCCAAGCCGTTTAGTAAACGCATCAAGTGGAGGAAGCGAACAGGGCAGGGCTGCTTGGTAAACGCCCAGGGCCGTTTAGTAAACGCCACTTGCCGGGGTTGGGGCAGTCTCTTTTCCCTTGACCGCTGTCGCAACTAGTGCAGCGATCGGGGGACCCCAGTGTGCCCGCACCGAAGGGTCCCCCCGGCGAAAGGACACTCTACAGGGCAATTTTTAATACATAGGATTTGCAAAAATATGGAATGCGTAATACATGATGAATGTATGAACAAATTTATGCATGAACTCATCGTTGTTTCTAACACTAGACCCCTGCGATTTTAATACATGATCCGCACGCGGAGCATGTATGAAAAACGGCACTGTAGTGTGTAGCCGACACCTCGGGGTGTTTTGGGCCGACAATTTGGGGCAGGAAGGGCGCACCGCCGTCTCAACATGGATCGTGTGGCACGCCAACCCCCCTCAAGACGTACCATACGCCTTTCCCGACCCCAACCTCGCGGGGCTCCCCGTCTCCGACCTCCCCGCTGCCGTCGAGATGCTCGAGGCCCGGGCCAGCAAGAATAGCAGTAGTTGGGGATACGTCTAACCTCCCCCTTACTACGCGCGCTCTGGGGGTGTAGGACCAGAGGTTGCGCCCCATCTCGCACCTCTCTCCCCTCGCCCTCTCGTCACCGCAGCTGCTCAGGCTCAGGGCTCCGCCCGCCGGATCGGCAACTACCTGGAAGCTGGGCTTCTTTTGCCCCCCTGCAACCCATGGTGAACAAGGCCAAGATCTTGGCCAGGTGGCCGCATGCTGCCCCCTGCCGCCCGTGCCCGCCCACGAACAAGGAAGGACGGATCATCTTCAGGTGTCGCGAGGCCCCGGGCGTCAGGTGGGCGTACATCGGCGACAACAACGGCGGCGGGAAGTGGCGCTGGCTCTGTGACGAGTGCGGCAAAACGGTCAACGAACCTGGGCCCCTGGGCACTTCACATCAACCGAGCACATGAGACAGCGCAAGCAGACACAAATCGACAAGCACATGGACGGCTACCTACCACACGGGCTACCTGACCCCCAAAGCTGCCTAAAAGGGAGGCGACCTGTGGTCCATGACGAGGGGCATGGACACAATGGAGATTAGGAGGACACAATACCCAGGCTTGTGCTGGGACTGGGAGTTTGACGCAAAACAATCTCCCATCGACCCTTGCGTCTACGAGGATGACTGGGACGCGATACCGATTGGATTTCCTACGCACTACGACGGGCCGGGGTACTCACCCCCGCTTGGGATGGTGATCAGCACTGACAAGGTACATCACCCCTGGGCCAAGAATAACCGCCCCCAGCAAACACAGGAGCAACTACTCCACAGCGCTGGGCAGGCACTGGCCAGCTCCCTGGCCATGAGGGGTACGTCCAACCTGGCCTCAGGGCAACTCGCCAACGCACCGCCTCCCCCGTTTGAGCACCCACCGCCGACCCAGCCCGCCATCCCTGGACCCCCACCATGGACACCCACCCCTGGCCACCCTGACCAGCACGGGGGACGCACCAGCAACACCGCAGCGCCCTACGCGGCCGGACTACCGGCCCCCGCGTCCCCTGGGGCACCCGCCATCGAAGGGCGTCACATACAGCTCGCCAGGAATGCCGAGGAGCTCTACAGCACTCCCTGGTACATGGTCCTATACGGCTCGGCAGCGCGGGCCTGCCTAGGACCGGTCCCTGGGGCTGTCCCGCTACCCCACGATTGGACTCGGCGGATGCAGCTACACGGACAGGAGCTAAGGTGGGTCTTCTTCACCGAACGTGGAGCCACCTGACGACGGCGCCACCTTGGCCCGGCTGGCCATCGCTAGTAAGACCACCTGCGCCCTAGACGTGCATATCCTCACCTGTTCCCAGCCCTACGAGCAGTGCCAGGAAATCTTGGACAGGTGCCACCTAAAGACAGGCTCAAAGGACAACAGCTGGGCAACAGCGAGTACTACCTGCTGGTTTGGGACACCGAGTGGGCCATGGAATGAACGGAGCGCGACATGGCAGCAGGCACCCCGAAACCTTTCCTCATCTCCAAATCCTCGCCAACAGTGGATTCCTTGGCAGAGATGACGCATGTCTGGCCTCCCGCCCCTGGTGCCAAGGTC